ACGAGGGCGGCAGCAACGACGAAGGCGACGGCGGCGGCGGCGGTGGTGGCGAGCCGGAAGTGTTGGGCCCTCGCCCTTTCTGGGGCTCCTGGGGCGCTCTCGCCGGCACGGTTGGCTCCGCCACGGGCGCGAGGACAGTAGTACTCAGATCAACACTATATCAAGCTAGGTGCGCTCGCGTCACATCTGACGTCGTGCCCCCCCCCCCCATCAATTAGAATTGCGTATAGCCTTTTTCCATTCGCACAGTCGGATGACGCACAGGGCAATGATCCGAGAAGACGCCCTGATGGATGCCACGGTCGGCTTTGGACCCCCCGACCCAGACATGCAACTCACAGAAATGCCATGTCATAGCAACAAAAGCAAAGCAGTGCAAATCAGGGCGTGCCTTCCTTAAATATTTACATGGGAAGCTCTTGCCTAAGGAGGCGGCGCATGAGGTACTTCCTTAGGAAACCAAATGCGATTGCTCAAAAAGCTTGTGGTTGCTGACGTTTTTTTAAAATTCGTGTGCTCTCATGCAAACTACGGCCGCCGCGTATAGGCCCGCATCGGGGTTTCATTTTCCCCACAAAACGGCGCCGAACCGCGCGGGCGTCGGCCTCGGCGGGGCCCACCAGCTTCCGTTTCTGCAAGACTTGCTGATGCACCTCGTCGGCCCACGCTGGCACATCAAAGACCCGCCCAGGGGCCCCGGCCACGAGCCATACGGCGACGGTGGACCAGCTGTCGGGCGCGATGAGCTTCGGCGGGGCATGGCGCCTGTGGGCACCGTACGCCCGACACACGAAGGCTTCGCAAAACTGCACGGCCTTGCATTCCGTGTGCTGCATGTCCTGGTCAGCCCCGACTCCATACTTATTGGAACCAAACCGGATATTCAAAACAATCAAAGACAGGAGGTGGCCCCAAGGGGGCCTGGCCCCGCGTCCCGCGGGGGCGCCCAGAGGGTTATAATATATATATATATATATGTATATATATATATATATAAATAAACAGCCGTTGCAAGACGTCTCAAATACGCAAAATCCCGCGGTCGAACTTCCTCTTTTACGACGTGGCCCAAGTTTCGAGCCCTGCGTGCGCAACGCGCGACGCAGGTGGCGAATCCGTCACGCGCGCTGCGCCATGGGGCGCTTCGAACCAACCCAGTGAAAAAAAGAGAACGCGGTGGGACGAACGATTTCACGATGGGGAAACCGTAGCCAAAGAATGCGCTGGAGGCGACGCCAGCGCCGCGCGGCTATCATTCAGACAAGGCGAGCAGGCGCCAGCGTGGGCCGCAGTGAACGTTGTCGACGTCGTCGCGCCCTCCTCTCCTCAGGTCACTAAGCATCGGGAACGTCCTTCAAGACTTGCCAGTCTCGGGCCTGGGAGTTTTTTGTTTTGCTTGCCTGGAAATCGCAGAGAGAGCTGGGACAGAGCTGGCCGCCGAGGGCAAGCGTGCGAGCCCCGCTCTTCGTCCTCTTTATGTTTTTTTCCTGTTCCTCCTCCTCCTCCTACTCCTCCTCTCCGTTACCCTCCCTCCTTCTCCCCCTCACCCTCCCCGCCCTTCCTCCCCAGCCTCCTCCTTCTCCTCCCCCCCCTCCCTCCTCAAGACCTGGAGCTCTCGAGGCGGAGCCCGGTGACCCAGCCCCAAGAATCCGAAAGATCACCCCGAGCCATGCTAAGATTTCGAGATAACCGCAGGACTGCCCAAGAGGGGCCTAGAGTCCTGGAGCGACCCTTGGCCCAAGACCCCAGGACGACCGACGAGACGGCCCCACGAGACGCTCAACAGAGGGAGCGCGACCTGACTAGTCGAGCATCACAGTCCGAGAATTCCCCTGAAGGCCCCGAGAACCCCCCCCCGCCCCCGCTAACGAAAACAGAAACCCCCAACTGCCTCCAAACCCCGAGGCCCCGACGAGGCCCACAGGAGCCCCGAGAGGTTTCAAAACCTGGTGGCCGGGTGGGCCGAAGGCCACGTCACAATGGCGATGGGCACGCCGTGCCCTCATCATTCGAGAAGGTACAACTGGCGCGACAAAACTCAAAATTAGCATTGTCACGATCGCAACCCAACTAGCATCGGTCAACTCTTTATGACTTTTGACTCAACCCCAAGCCTTGTCCTTTTGTCAACAATGATCCTTGCTGCACTGGACGGCGGCGCCGTCGCCCCCCCCCCCCGCCCCCGCTGACCGAAGCGCGGGGCCCGCTGTTCTGGCCGCCGCGCCCCGCCAGGGGTGGGGGGCTGAAAGGCGGGCAAGGGAGACCGCGATCGATCGCGAGCCTCCGCGTCCCTAGAAAAACGAATCCAGCTGCATTACGACTGGAGGCACCAACTACCCGCGACAGAGATAGATGGAAGAGAGAGAGGGAGTGCGCGTGCGTGTGCGTTGTCGCCGTCATCGTCGTCGTCGTCGCCTTCGTCGTCGCCGTCGTCGTCTCTGCCGTCGCCGTCGCCGTAGCCGTCGTCGTCGCTGTCGTCGTCGCCGCCGTCGTCGTCGTCGTCGTCGTCGCCGTCGCCGCGGTCGTCGTCGTCGCCGCCGCCGCCGCCGCCGCCGTCGTCGTCGTCGCCGCCGCCGCCGTCGCCGTCGCCGCCGCCGCCGCCGTCGCCGTCGCCGCCGTGTCCGTGCGGAGGAGCGCCGACGAATGGGGAGGAGCCAGGAGCATGGAGGAGTGGGGGGGGCGCCGAGGAGCACCGCGGAATGGGGGGGGCGCCTGCACACCCCCCCCCCAAGACGCCCCCAATAGGGCTCCATGCCCCAGGTCAGGCCCAGGACAGCGCGAACCAGATGGACCTTTGCAGACTTAGGGCTGACGCAGACTCACTCACACTCAGACTCACTCGCACTCAGATTCGCTCGGGCACACTTAGGCTCAGACTCACCCGCACTCACTCACACTCACGATACCTCGCCCCCCCCCCGCCCCCCTCGCGACCCGCCCGCGACCCATCGGCCCGATGGCATCAGAGGAACGGCCCTTCCCAGGCCCCATCGACCTCTCCGGGTTCCCCCGGGGCCCTCGAGGCTTTCAAGACGGCCCCGGGGATGTTGCGCGAGGGCCGCAGACCGAGATACGGCCGCATCTGACATCTCGCTCGGTGGCCCTCTTGGGGCAATGGGCCTCTCCAAAGGCACTGGGGAGAATGCAGATGGGGCCCCAAGAGGCCCCCGAGAGCGCCCCGGCAGGCTTGCCAAGCGGCCCCGAGAGGGCCACAGGGCGAGATGCGGCCGCGTCTCGATGCGTGGCCCTCTTGGGCCCCACCGAAGACCCTGGGGGGAATCCAAACGGTGCCCCAAGCGGCCCCAAGAGGGCTTCAAGAAGTTTTCAAGAGGTCCCCAGAAGGGCCCCAAGACGGCCACAAAGCGAGATGCGGCCGCATCTCGCTTCGCGGCCGATCCAAATGGGGCCCCGAGATGCCCCCAAGAGAGCCCCCAAAGCGCCCAAGAGGGCCCAGGGAAGGGTCCACGAGGGCCCCAAGAGGCCGCCAAGAGGCCGCCAAGAGGGCTCCAAGAGGGCCCCAAGGGGGCCACAAAACGAGATGCGGCCGCATCTCGCTTCGGGGCCCTCCTAGGCCCCTCCGACTGCCCCAAGAAACCTCCATGGGTCCACGGGGGCCCCAGGAGGGCCCCAATTGCACCATCGCTCTCCTGGGAACTCCGATCGAGCCCCCCCCCCCTAGGAGAGGAAGAGGAGGAGGAGAGGAGGAGGAGGAGAGGAGGAGGAGGAGGAGGAGGAGGAAGAGATGGAGGAGAGGAGGAGGAGGAGGAGGAGGAGGAGGAGGAGGAGGGGGAGGGGGAGCAGGAGGAGGCAGGAGGAGGCAGGAGGAGGAGGCAGGAAGAGAAAGGAGGAGAAGGGGGAGGCGGAGGAGGAGGAGGAGAAGGACAAGGGGGAGGAGGAGGAGGAGAAGGAGCGAGGAGGTGCGATGGGATGCGGGAGGAGGGAGGAGGAGATCGAGAGATTATATATGTAGAGAGAGAGAGAGAGAGGGAGAGAGAGAGAGAGAGAGAGAGAGAGAGAGAGAGAGAGAGAGAGAGAGAGAGAGAGAGAGAGAGAGAGAGAGAGAGAGAGAGAAAGGAGAGAGAGAGAGGAGAGAGGGAGAGAGAGAGAGAGAGAGAGAGAGAGAGAAAAAAAGAAATAAAGAAATAAAGAAAGAAAGAAAGAGAAACAACACAAAAAGATAAAGATAGGGTGATCACGAAGAGGGGCTGGGCAAAAAGAGAACGCGAAGAAGAGGCGAGAGATATATAATGTGAGAGAGAGAGAGAAAGAGAGAGAGAAAGAGAGAGAGATAGAGAGAGAGAGAGAAAGAGAGAGAGAAAGAGAGAGAGAGAGAGAGAGAGAGAGAGAGAGAGAGAGAGAGAGAGAGAGAGAGAGAGGGCACGCAATAACAACGAAAACAAGACGGACGACACGAGGTGGATGAGAGGACGAGTCGGCATGATCAGGAAGAGGAGGAGGGGGAAGTTGCGGAGGGGGGAGGAGTGGGCGCCAGGGCATCCAGGACATCCAGGTGTCGAGGAGGACGCGCTGGCTGCGAACCCGCCTGGGCGTCGCGGGTCCGCCGGGCCCGTCGGCCCGCCTGCTCGGGCGCCGTCGGCTCGCTCTTGGCCATGCGCGCCAAGGCGTTACCAACGAAATCGGGCAACACGATCGCCCCGACCTGGAATGGGAAAAGCTCGGGCGGGCGGAGCGAGGGCGGCGGCGGTCCAGGCCGGGCTCCATCATTGGATCGAACCTCGACGATCGAGGCCGGGGGGGGGGGGTGCGCTGGCCTTCGGACCGGGGGAGCGCTGGCCTTCGGGCCCAAGGGGCCCTCCTCGTCGCCGCGGCCGGGCACGGCCCGCAAACAAAAATCTGGCACATTTGGCCCTTTTTCCGACTCCATCGGCCTCCCACTCACTCCCCTCCTCCCCCCTCACTCTTCCGTCTACTTCACTCTCCTTTCCTTGCCTCCCCCCTCGTTCGCAATCCTCCTCCTCGGGCCCCTGAAGACTCGAGACCTTCTTCGCAGCCTTGCTCGAGTCGTCGTGGCACGCGAAGCTCTTCTCAGCGAGCTTCTTCCTGACCAACTCCGCATGCTGTGCCATGTCGCCTGGCTCCTTCGGCGCGAAGCCGCTGATGGCCTCCACGGCCCAGGCAACGCCGACCGCCAGCTTGGCCATGCGCCTCGCCTGGGCCAGCGACGCCTTCACCGACGGCTTCACCTGCATCCCGTTGTCATCCATGGACTTGATCTGGTCGATCGCCTCTGTGACCTTCGCCAACACCTTGGTGTCCGAGAGCTTCTTCACGGAAGCCTTCAGCGCCTTCTGAAGGCCCTTGTCGACAAGCAACCTCCGGTCCTCGAAGAGAGCGTCGGCGGGCGCGGCGTCCTCGGCCTGTTCGGTCAAGTTCTTCAGCTGCCTGGTGCACCCCTTCGTGAAGAACGCCACGAACTCCTCCGCCGCGCCGACGTGGTCCTTCGCACGTAGGGCCATCTCGGCGGTGAGTTCTCCAGTCGCCAGCGCGTCCAGAGACCCAGTGAAATGAGTTGTCCAAGTGCGGTAGGCCCCCAGGCTGGTGACCAGGCGACCCGCAGACATGGCCAAGCCTTCGCCCCCAAGCGGAATCGCGCCATCATCTCCGATGAGAGATATGACCCGCGAGACGTTGAAGCCGACCGACGTGAGCTTGCGCAGCAACAGGACACGCTCCTTCGAAATGGCATCCACTGCGACACTCTCGATCGCATTGAAGCAGTCCTCCTTGTTCTCGAACGCGGCGACGTGCTTTGCCAGCTCGAACGAATCATCGTCCAACTTCGTGCCCTTGCGCTTCATGTCCGCAAACATCTTGTCCACCGCCGCGTAGAAAGCGATCGCCTCTGCGAGGGGCTTCTCGACTGCGGACGCGAAGTGCGCCTGCAAGGCTGGGGTCAGCGCGCCAGTGATCACGCGGGACACGCCAGCGAAGAGCTCCACGCAGTCCGCGGGGTCGCCGTCCACGGGGGCCAAGTCCGCCAACTTCTCGAAGATGCCCTTCAAGTTCGCCGCGAGGTCTGCGAGCTCCCGGGCGCGCTCGACGCCCAGCTGCTTGCACTCGCCGGCGATGGCCAAACGAAGGTCGGATTCCCAATGCGAGGACCACTGCTGCATGATGATGAGAAGCTCGGCGTCGCCGCGGAGAGCGGCCGCCTCTGGCGGCGATGACCCATGCACCGACGACGCCTCGCCAGGGGGGGCGCGAGAACAAGCCGCGCGCAAAGGGGTTCGCGAAACAAAAACCAGGAAACGGAAACATATGATGCCAGGATTATCTCCCCCCCCCTCCTCCCCCGCCCTCCCATTTGCGGGGCCCACCTCCGCCCATCTCCCTCCATCCATTCTATCGCCCGCCTCCTTGCCCTCCTTTTCGTCGTTCTTGCAATCGCCTCCCTCCGCCGCCTTCGCCCTCATCCTCCGCGTCTTCTTGAATATGACTCCTCTCTGCGGGCCGTCGCACTCCTCGTCCCTCCGCTGGCCCTGGCCCCATCTGTTCTCCTTATCTTGCCCGTGCGAAGATCTCGGGGGGCGCCCAATGGCCCATGGGCGCCTCGACGGCCCTCGCCATCGGAAGAAGGGCATCCAAGGAGACCTTGCAGGAGGACATCATCTTTGACTCGCTCTCGCTGCACTGCCTGGCGGAGAACGCGGCTTCCATGGCTGTGACCCGCATGGGCAGGAGGACGCGCACGCATGTCTTGATCGCGCCCGCCTCATGCGCGTGCAAGGTTGCGGCTGCGCCTGGGCAGGCACGCCCGAGGAAGGCCTTGTCATCCAGGCTGGCCTTGTGGAAGTCCTTGTACAGGTCAGCAATCGACGCGATAGAATTCTGCACGAGGGGCGGATCTGCCGCGATGGCCCATGTCTCACTCGCCTCAGCTATCTGCTTCCAGGCGAGGGCCGTCTGTTGCATCTGGCGCGACCACGCCTCGATGCCCTCGAAGAGTTGCAATCTGGTCTCCAAGACGGCGATCATGCCCTGGCCGTGCACTGGGAACTTCGAGAAGAGCGACGGAAGCATATCCAGCGAATCCTTCATCATCAAGGCCTGGCGGAGCAATGGAGGCCCCCATGCCTGCAGAACCCCAACAGGGGGCCGCGCGAACATCAACGAGACCCGGAGCTCGAGCAACACGTCCTTGTCCCACTCCGTCTGATCGACATCCGCCTGTGAGATGGCATTCTTCACAAACCGCTCAATGGTGTCCACGCAATTGTGCAGCGTCTTGGAGGTCAATGCGGCCGTCAGTCCAAGGGCGCAGAACTTGCGCTGCAAACCGCCGAGCATCGTCGCAGCCTCCTCCTCGCCCTTGCAAGCGGAAGTCTTCAAGGCGAAGCGCTCCCTGAGCAAGGACATCCGAATCTCATTTGTCAAGTCCTCGCCGGCGTGAGAAATGAAAGTGGCCCTTCGAGAGCGAGCATGACATGAGAGATCGGGCCTGGGAGCGCATCGTTTTGAAGCGATCGAGCGGCCGAAGACCAATGCCGCATCATGTCATTGAGTCATGCCGCGTGCGAGCCATGACATGGCGCAGCATATTCGCTCGGCCAATCAATCGTCTCAAAGCGATCGCAGAGTGTTGGGCCCAGGAAATATCATCGAGCAGACTGCCCAACATCCTGGACTCGTAACCCGAACAGGCACAGATCCCCCAAGTCTCTGCTCACCCTGCGCGCCTTGATCTGGATCCGCAATTCCCACGTGAAACCGCAAGTTATCTGCTGCGCGGGAGCGCTGTGCGCGAAGGCCTCCAAGATGGCGAAGCCGTCGTTGAAATCAGTCAAGGCCCGCGTGTTCTCTGTCCGCGTGCGCCAAGCCTTGTAGAGCTTCATGCACTGTTCAACGATGTCCAGACGCTTGGCGGCCAACTCAAGGAGCGTCTTCTTGCTGGCATCTTTGCACGCCTCAGATTTCGACCTGACGTCGTTGGCCCAGCGAATGACCAATCGCTCCTGGACGTCTGAAACCTTCGGGTCTGTGAAAAAGATGCCCCCCTCCTCGGCCTTCTCGAAGCTTGCCCGCAAACTCTGAGCCATGAGAAGCCCGTCCTTCTTCGGCGCTCCACGAGCCTTCTTGTTGTCGCCGCCGCCGACGTCCTGGACATCGCCATGGCCATCGCCATCCCGAGGGCCCTCTCCGTCATCTCCGCCTTCGCCGTCTTGGACCCTGCTGGCCTTCGCGGTGGACTTGGAAACGGGGATCTTGCTCCCTGCGGCCTTCTTCCTCTTAGTCACGACCACGCCGCTGCTGCTATCCTCATCTGAAGTGCCCACATCCATGAAGAAGCTGGAGCGCGCCTTCGTCTTCTCCTGGAGATCCTTCCCAGCCTTCAGAGCCGCTTTCCTTTTCTTCTTTCGGGCAGCCTTCTTATCCTTGTATTTCTGTAGTTCCTGCCCGCTCTCCTCCTTGCTGATCTCAGACAGAAGGCTGGCCATCTGGCCCTGCGCGGCTCGCGCGTACTCCTCGTTGCTATCCGCGAGATCCTCGCCCCCGTCGGTGGAGCCGACGCCCTCCTCCTCATCCTCCTCGAGCGCCGCCCCCTCCTCCTGGATGAATTCCATCGGGGCTTTGGGGTCATCCTCCTTCGGGACAAGCGCGCCCTTCCTCCCTCCGATCTTTCGAGCTTCATGGCCACGGCCTTGTTCTCCTTCTTTGTCGGATCTCCGAATTTCGCGAGGCACTCTTCCCAAAGGTCCGCCACCGTGCCCTGCGGCGCGGCGCGGGCGTGCCCGCGGATTCTCGTAGACCAGAACCCGAATTCTCAAATCCTTTGCGGGCCTCGGCGCGTTTCTTCCCACGACGCCTGGGGGAGGGCCAACTCCCGCCCAAGAGGCCACCATCCGGCCCTTGGAAATCCCTGGCGAAGTCCCGACAGGCTCGAAGAGGACCCGGGGCCGGTGAACTGAAACGGCTGGGCAGGGGGCTCGCCCCGGGCGGTTCCCCTGGCATCCGCCCCGCGGTTCCCCAGATGCGCCCCCTTAGCTTGGCGTTCCTTATCTCAGGTTAGCTTAGCTTATTCCATCTTAGCTTAGCTGAGGTTTATCTTAGCTTAGCTTACCTTCATATGAGCTTCGCTGGGCTGTAGCATAGCAGAGCACAGCATAGCGTAGCACAGCATAGCACAGCACCGCATATCATAGCATAGCCCAGCATAGCATAGCATAGTATATCATGGCATAGCATAGCGCAGCACAGCACAGCACATCATATAGCATATCACAGCGCAGCATAGCGTAGCGAAGCTAGTTTTAGCTTATACGTAGCTTTCGCTCTAGCTTAGCGTTAGTTTAGCTCTCGCTTAGCTTTAGCTGAGCTTCAGCTTAGCTTAGCTTTAGCTGAGCTCTAGCTTCTCTAGCTTAGCTTCAGCTTCGCTTCAGCTTAGCTTCGACTTAGCTTCAGCTTAGCTGCAGCTTAGCTTCAGCTTATCTTCAGCTTAGCTTTAGCTTAGCCTTAGCTGATCTTCAGCTTAGCTTTAGCCTGTAGCTTAGCTTCAGCATAGCTTTAGCTTCAGCTCAGCTTTAGCGTAGCTTTAGCCTAGCTTCAGCTCAGCTTTAGCTAATGTTCAGCTTAGCTTTAGCTTAGCTGTACTGGCTGCTTCCCTACGGGCTCCAACTTCTAGGCGCACTGGGATAATTTGTTTCTTTCACGAACGAGCTTGAAACAAACAACGAGGACAAAGAGGAGGAAGAGGCCCCCTGGCAGGGGGGCTGTCTCCAAGCGCCCTCGGGCCCCTCGAAGCTTCGGAAGCTCCAGCGCTGCCCGCGGAAAACCTTCAGAGGCTTCGACCCTGCCCCCCCAGAAACCCTAAGGAGGCGAACCGCGAGCCCCTTCCCCCGACGCGCAGCCTGGCGCGGTGGCGGGAGATGCGCCGAAGGCAACTGGTTAGAAGTGCATGGCTGGCTTCTTCAAATAGGACTTCTGAAACTTCTTGCGATGGAGACTCACTCTCCTGACGCCCCCTTCAGCGAGACAGCCGGAAGTTGGCCTCTGAATCAAATGGCCGAAGACCAAACGGGGCAACAAACACCAGAGAAACGGACCCGATTTGGATGGACTAGGCCCACTGGACCACGCCCCCGAAAAGTTTGGGGCCCCGCTAGAGGGCCGCGGCCACAAAATCCAAGTCTGAACCTAGAGCCAGAGGGCCAAGAGCTTCCGGCTGCCCTGCCGCGGCCCGAGCGTTTGGCAATCTTCGGCTCTGCCTTCTCGATCGCCCTCCTCACCGTCAGCTTTCGCTTCGCACCGAACTTCGCGAGGGTGTCGCCGTTCCTGGACAACTCTCCCAGGAACTTGGCCCTGTCGCGATCTGGGTATTCGTGGGCGTCCTGCTCCCAGGTCCGGTCGCAGTACCAGCACGACGTGCCCTGGCCACTGCTCTCCAGGAAATCCTCCTTGTCACGCGCCCAACGAATGCTCATGCGCTTCACCCCCTTCACCGCCTGCGCCGTCGGGTCGGGCGAGACCTAGCAGATCGCCCCGCACAAGAAAACGCACGCTTTCTTCTTACCCTGCTGGCTCCCGTCGTCCGCCGCCACCGCCACCTCGCCCGCTTTCGCAGGAGGCTGGCCATCGTGCTCCTCGGGCGCAATCTCTCGGAGCACCCGCCGACAAAACATCGGCATACTCCTTGGGATGGTTCTCGGAACGTGTCCTTACGCCAACGTCTGCCCGTCCACCGAAACGCGGCGAATGCCGAACGGGGTAATCAAGCATCGAAGCAACACACGCCCGGACTATCATCGGAAACCCGCTTCCGGCCACCACACCAGGAGGAGGATGAGGAGGAGGACGAAGAGGATCATGCTGGATCATGCTGCGATGCCACACACGTGGCCAGTTCAATCGCTGTCACCGCGATCATCAGGGGCAAAGGAGCGCAAGAAAGCGGCATGTGACGCCGACTGCACGCGAGCTCTCCGCGAAACGACACCGCGTTGGGTGCCGCCCCATGCCTCCCACCAGGCACGGTCCCCAGGCGGCCTCCGCAAAACGGGCCAAGGAGGAGGAAGGGAGAAGAAGAGAAGCAACTGCAGCCACATGCCACTGTGCCGTCACGGGGGTCTTCAGCCCACCGCAGCAGCAAAACTCCTACCTCCCCCCAACTCGCAGGGCCAGCAAGCTCGCCACCTACCACACGGTTTTCCGAGCTGCGTCCGCCCCGTAGGGCTCAGATAACGACACCATCGTGCCGCCCCAAGCCGCCCGAGGGGGCGCCACTCCCCACGGGCGACTCCGCACCCCCCCGCACGCCAGGGCGGGGCACCCTGGCCGTGGGGGGGATGGGTGCGGGGTCCACCGATGAGCCCCCCGCAGGGGACCCGCTCCCCCGCCCAGGCGCACGCGGTGTACGTGCCGGGCCACCGCAAGGAGGGAGCTGGCGACGAGATGCATTGTTCTCTCCCCCTGGCCCCTACGGGCAAGCAGGGGTGACGATCGGGCTGCTACCCGCCTGTTTTCCTCCTGGCCCCTACGGGCAAACAGGAGTGGCACAGGTGCCAGGAGGACGAAGAGGAGGAGGATAAGGAGGACGAGGAGGGAGGAGGAGGAGGAGGAGGAGGAGGAGGAGGAGGAGGAGGAGGAGGAGGAGGAAGGAGGAGGAGGAGGAGGGAGACGAAGACGGAGGAAGGACGGGAGGAGGAAAGGGAGGAGAGGGAGGGGAGGGAGGAGGGTAGGATGGGAAAGAGGGAAGAGGGGGAAGGGGGGGACGTAGGAGGGAGGAGGGAAAGGGGGGATGGGGGGAGGAAGGAGGAGGAGGGAGGAGGGGAGCAGGGAGGAGGAAAGGGGAGGAAGGAGGATGGGGAGGGATGAAAGAGGAGGGAGGAGGGAGGACGGAGGAGGGAAGAGGGATGAAGGAGGAGGGAGGAGGGAGGGAGGGAGGAGGGAGGAGGGAGGAGGGAGGAGGGAGGAGGGAGAAGAGAGGAGGGAGGGAGGGAGGAGGGAGGAGGGAGGAAGGAAAGGGGAGGAAGGAAGACGGTGGAGGGAGGAGGGACGAAGAGGAGGAGGAGGAGGAGGAGGAAAAGGAGGAGGAGGAGGACGACGACAACGACGACAACGACGACGACGACGACGACAACAACGACAACGACGACGACGACGGCGACGACGACGGCGACCGACGACGACGACGACGACGACGGCGACGACGACGGAAGCGGCGACCGCGGCGACGGCAACGGCGACGGCGACGGCGACGATAACGAAGGCGGCGGCGACGGCGGCGACGACGGCGATCGACGACGACGACGACTACGACGACGACGACGACGACGGCGGCGGCCGTGGCGACGGCAACGGCGACGGCAATGACGACGACGACGAGGGCGGCAGCAACGACGAAGGCGACGGCGGCGGCGGCGGTGGTGGCGAGCCGGAAGTGT